GCACAAGGTGGCGATAATGCACTTAAAAGCTGTTTGCCAATCGCCATTAAATAAAAGAATAAGAGGGGTGGACCATTTCATCCACTTGGGGGCAGCTGCTCCTGTGACGTGCTGCTAATCTACTTCAATTAGACAGTAGAAGAAGTAGTTTCCGATGCAACAGCTAGGCATCATCATGCCTACTGCTGTGATTATGGAGGAAAATTTTGATAAATTATTAGAGCAGTGTGAAGCCCAAGAGCTCGAGGTAAGCAATGAACCGCTAAATTCATTTTTTTCTTGTGCCAACAATAAATGTAGCCTAGTTTGTTTGCTTGAAGGATTGGTAGTAGTTTTTCTGGTAGTTAGCTCATGGCTAACGTTAAGGCTGAGAAGCTAGCCTGTGTTCACTACTCGAACGCTTCAGAGAATGTTAAATTACAATAAATAAATGTTCACGTTAGCTTCTGAATGAACCAGTGCCATGCTAACAATGCCAACAAATGTGCCGTCGTTTAAATAGTGGGGTTAGCGTCACTCTCTGCTTCCACTGCTGCGTTTAGCAGATAGTAGGTAACAGTTCGTAAGCTAACTGTAGAGAGCTAGAGATGCCTTTGATAAGTTGATAAACAGAGCTAAAGTTACAGCTAATACTACAGTAGTATTTTACTGAGGTTCTCATAACGTAAAATATATTGCTTGGTTCACTGTGTGGCGTTCACCTTGTGAATGACCAGTTACTTTAAGAAATACAGTAGCATTGTAAGGTAAGGGACCAATGCTATATAACATAACACAAATAAGGAAAATAACGTTACAAACATAACTGTCGGAAGTAATGTTACGTAGCTAACGTCCACCACCGGAAGTTTATATGATATAGCCTACAACATGGATTTTAAGGGGAACATATAGCTTTGTTTTCAGCTCATTCTTAGCCTCAAACTTCAGTTTCACATCTGCATTTATTTTTAACAGGCTCCAGGGGGCATTGCAACACCTCAAGTGTACGCTCAGCTGCTGGCGCTTTATTTACTTCATAATGACATGTAAGTCAGCTCTGTGTCTGTTTTTAATATGTTACAGGATCCTCTGTCTCTTGAAGGTTTTTGTATCTGGGGTGTGGATCTTGACTTGCTTTAAGATTGTTGCTTATAGAAAACATTGCATATTGGTTTTACTTCTGCAGTCCTTAAATTCAAAGCAAAGAAATACAAAGCATCCTTAATTTCAGACTATCTTGGCAAACAGTTGGTAATGCCCTTTTCCTTTTCCTTTTTCAGTGTTGTGACATTTTGTAGTGCATAATGCCTGGTTGGCTTCACAAATAATACATTTGGTTTGGGAATGAATATGTGTGTGTCAAACTTAAGTAGGTCCCTTAAATCTGTTCAGTTGTATCACTGCTAACCCTGTTCTCTTGTTGCCTGTACCTGCAACTCAGTTCTGTGTACAGTAACTTGCAAATGTGGTATCAACAGGAATAATGGCAGATATCTGTGGAAACGTATTCCCCAAGCAATAAAATCGGTAAGCATGACAACAGATAGGTAGACACTAATGAAACCCATTTCAGTATGATACATGTGATTGTCCCGTTTGTGCTGCTTTATATGGTACTTACCATATCTACCAATTTCCAACTTGTAAGTACTGCTCACATCAACATCCAATGATAATTTCAACTTTGAACCTCGTCCTTATTTCCTTATTTTAACTCTGATTCTGACTTGACAGTAAAGAATAAAGACAGCTCTGGAAAGTAAACAGAGGTGGCTGTCTGTCTGACTTCAGCTTAAGTCTGTTATTCAAGCTGAACAAATCATTTTTAATACATATTTAATCCACAACATTTGCTTACCCCTTCACGACCAACTTTGGCTATTACAGAAACATAGCTCAACTGTATTTAACTTATTATTAGTAACACATGCAGTTGCTGCTTTGCATTGTCTGATTGCATAAATGCTGGCAATTTATAACCATGGGAAAATTTACCATCACTGTCTTCTATCTGACAGGACAACTGACCCTGATGCTAATAGAATAATGTTGTTGCTAATTAGATCATAGTTCCTTGTCAGATGCTCATCTGAAGGTTGAGGCTCTTCAGACTGTTAAAGACAAAGCTTCATTGTGTATATACACTGTACGACTCGGTGTTTAAATTGGTGTTTTAAAACTAAACAGGACAGTTGAAAAATTAGATCACTGTGATACAATATCCCAAGTATTTGGGTGTGACTGCTCTTTATAGTAGCATGACAACCACTGCCTTGTCAAGTGTAACATACTAAAGGTTTTTGAAATGCTTTTCCATTTATTGTATACAGGCAAACCCTGAATTAACATCTATTTGGGCTGTTGGCCAACGCATTTGGCAAAGAGACTTTCCAGGGATCTACACAGCCATTGCAGCTTACCAATGGTCAGAGAATATCCTTCCGGTCATGGAGGCTCTTCGAGGTAACAATAAAGTGTTGTCTTATCTGACCCTTCAATCAGTGTCATTTAGCTTTTACAGGGGTTAAAGTTCTCCGGCACAGCGCCGGATTTCCGGCGTGGCAAAGTTTCTGTCTGGCACAGGCAGATGTGCTCTGCAGTGCGAGCATTTCACTCGCATTGGCCCCTAAAAATATATGTGCGAACCAGGAAAATGATTTAGGCACACAGTGTGCGAGTAAACACAACCTGCTGTTTACCGTAATCGGCATCAGACGTTTTTTCATCGATTACCGATCAAATAAATGTATTTTAAAACTCCCTCCTTTGGCTCTGATAAAGCCGTCTCACTCCCTGCCTGCAGTCCCCACTGCACTGGGCTTTGTAACAATGTCCCGCCTACAGCCCCCTCTGATTGGTTACATGGCACAAGTGATAGCCAATCAACACTGATGCCTGTGCACGCTTTCACATCATGTTACATTGAGACACAGAGCTCAGACGAGCAGGAGAGGCTCTGGTAAGCCAGCAGTAATTTTGAAGGTAAGGTAACAGAAACCAGACAAAAACGAAAGTTGCAATAAAAGTCCTCTATGCTGAAGTTTTAAAGTCACCACCACAACGTTATATGATCCATTTCAATGATGACATGCTTGCCCAGAGGCGAAATTTCGACGTAACTGCCTGTTTAATTCACATCAAGCGCGATACAATTTTGCAAACAGCCTAAATGATTTAGCTTCTAAAAATAAATAGCACCAAGGCAAAAAAGAGATGTAGGAGCTATAAGTCAAAAAGTCTGGTAACCACTGAAAGTTTAATCTTTATTTATAAACTCATTATGCTATAAAAGTTTAATCTGAAAAGTAACTACTAAAGCTATAATCTGTTTGTTCATTTTGATAATAAACATGTTCCTTTGCAACACATACATTTCTGTTTCTTCATTTTGTGACCGCAACACCAAGCCCCCCGCTCCGGAAAAGATTTCAGATTTCAGGAACACAAATTTTCCGTGCTCCACATTTCAGGTACAAAATTTTTTCTTGCTTTAACCCCTGCTTTTAACATTATTAAAACATTTAGAAATGAAATTTAAAGATTGTACACATTAAGCTCTGGGCAAAATTGAAAATAGTCATAGCTACAATTCAACCAAGGTGAAAGAACTTATTGGAAAACTAAGGGACTGAATTTTACTGTTCATGCCCTCTTTTAATTTCCAGCAGTGTGGCTTATCAGTGTCATGAAGGCTAGTTAGAAGGACAAAATGCTGATATAACTCAGTTTATATGCTCACATGCTTACACTAGTACTCTCTCATAATTTTACAAAATATCTAAACATTTCTGCTGTGTCTTGATTTCACACCCCCACCTTTTTACATCAAATGCCAACTTTTAAGACACATCCCTGCATGAAATTATTGCTCACATGCTCACTGTTGTTTGGGCCTCTGTATCATGTGATGTTTCCCTTGTGCAAGAGTTTAAGAATAGCTTCTCTCTCATGTTTACGGCACTTCTTGTTGATCTGCTATGGATGCTGACGTAGAGAATGTCATAAGACACTTGGGCAGCCATTGATAAGAAAAACTTGGTGGATGTGGTGAATTTGGGAAGCGTTTTTGAATCTAAATGCACACAATTTATTCTTTTTTTTTTTTTTTTTTAATTGATAAAGCAGTTTTTAACAAGGCAGCAAATCTTCCTACAAAGGAATTATATAATAAAGTTCTTATTAGCAAGTATGTTTGTATTTACTAGGGATGTAAGTGTTTCATCATGAAACAATATTGTGATTATTCTTTGGACAATGATACTATATTTGCTGATATCACAAAGTCTGCCATGATATGATTTTGATTCAGATTGGAGAATTGCGATCAATATGAGACAATGTCAGTAAATACCCTCATTGTCTTTTCTTGGGCTGCTTGCCATTGTCTGCCAGGCGTTAGGCCACTAGCAGTGTTTGAATGTTTACACTTGGACGAAAATGGTGACAGAGTACTGCCGGAATTTCAAAACAAAGTCATATCTTAAAGTTGAAAATATGTATGGAAGTTTTCACTTTGCAGCGATAATTTTGTATCGTTGATCGTTGAATTGATATATTGATCCAGACTGAGGTATTGTTACATCCTTAGCATTGATAAGCCAATGGTTGCTTTTTTTTCCTCAAAAAAGTAAACTTTATGTAATCAATCATTTAATAAAGATGTAATTAGTGATCAGAACTGTCCATTTTCTATTGATTAATGTCATTGGTCAGTTTAAATTTAAACAGAAATGTCAAAAGTATTTGGAAAACATGTGGTTACTGTGTTCTCCGTAAGAAACAGTTACATATACAGTTCATATAAATATCAAACTAGGTAGTCGATCAACAATTCAATGGAAATAAAATGTTCAAAACAACAGCGGAGTCACAAGATGTTGACATTGACTTGTTTACCATTAGACCGAGCTCCCTCTCACTTGGGGCTCCTCTGAGCCAGTCACATGGGCCCTGGTTGTCTCTGCTCAGTCCACCACCTCTGTCACTGTTAAAGGGGACACAGTGCCTACTGGGACAAGTGACACATGCAGCACTGGGTAGGAGGGGGCCATTTCTGTGAAAAGATCCCAAGGCAGCAAGCAAGCAGGAATGTTTGCTCTGGTTGGTGGGAAGGATCAGATGTCACCAGCTGTGAGAGGCTGGTATAAAGGACAGAGCTGCCAGCTCTGAGCCAGAATAGATATCAGCATTTGACAAGTAACAGCACGCACTAAGGATAAGCCAGCAGAGTCTGCCTTTTATTTTGGTAACCTTTTGAAACGGACAGAGGGAGAGAAGCTTTTAGTTTTCTCTTGTAAAAATTAGGAAACTTCCTGGTCTAACTGAAGGTAGAGAATTTTCCAATATGGATGTTCAGAGGACAGGCTCTATGGTGCGGCCCCCGAGCCCCATGGATAGCCTCGAGAAACAGTTGAGCTGCCCCATCTGCCTGGACATGTTCACCAAACCTGTGGTCATCCTGCCATGCCAGCACAACTTGTGCCGTAGTTGTGCCAGTGACCTCTACGACTCACGCAACCCGTACCGCTTCTCTGGTGGTGTCTTTCGCTGTCCTACTTGCCGTTTTGAGGTTGTGCTTGACCGCCATGGTGTGCATGGGCTCCAGCGTAACCTGTTGGTAGAAAATATTATCGACCTCTATAAGCAGCAGCAAGAAGGCAGTGGCAGTGGCAGCACAGAAACCAGCCTGAAGCCTAAAGAATCCAAAGAACCGATGTGCCAAGAACACGAGGATGAGAAAATCAACATCTATTGCGTGACTTGCCAGACACCCACCTGCTCCATGTGCAAAGTGTTTGGCCAGCATAAGGACTGTGAGGTGGCACCTTTAGCAAGTGTCTACCAGGCCCAGAAGGGTGAACTGAGTAATGCTATTGACACCCTAGTGGCCAGCAATGGCCGCCTGCAGGCTCTGCTCAACCAGATGGAAGATGCCTGCCGTGCTGTACAGGAAAATGCTCAGCGTGCTAAACAAGGGCTAGCTGAGCGCTTTGACCTGCTATATGCTGTCCTGGAAGAACGCAAGACCATTCTACTAGAGCAGATTGGTAAAGAGCAAGATGAAAAGGTTGCAGCTCTGCGGGCACTGGCTCAACGTTACGGCGAACGATTGCAGGCTAGTTCAGAGCTCACAGATACGGCTGTGAGGGCATTGGAGCAAGGCAGTGCTGCTGAGTTTCTCTTAGCCTCCAAGGGCCTCATCACGCAGACCAAAGACGCAGCGAAAGGTTCACTGGGGGAAGAGAGGCCAGAGCCAGGCTTCGAGAAGATGGACCACTTCACTTTATCAACAGAACATGTTGAAGCAGTCCTGGCAAAAATGGACTTTGGAGTGGGTGATGATGATGAATTTGAGGATGCAGAGGAGGAGGAAGAAGAAGAGGAGGAATAATGAAAATCAAAGTAGTCATGGACTTGTTGGAAATATTGTTATATGTGTTTTTGAGGGTTTTTTGACACAAGTGTTTGTGGCAGGGACTGCATTTGATGTTGAAAGAAATGTAAGGTTACGTTGGATGTGGGCTGAAAAGGCTTGCCCTGACTAAGTGCAATATTTAATTTCAATGTCATATTCATAACTTTTCTTAACTTCTTTTTATACTTTTGTACTTCTAAGCCAGTTAAATGAAAAAACTGATCTAGATAAATGTAAATATAGAATGTCTGAAGACGGATTACACATCGTTTTCCTCATATGTAGCTCATGGAAGTAGTTCTTTGTGTTTTCTCACTCTGTCTAAGTTTGTGTTGAATTGGTGATCAGCTGATCTGCCTGTAATCACCAAATCTGTCGTGACTGGAATGTGGAATAAAGCTGCATGAAGTTAAGCATCTATTTCCTTTATTGCTTAACTAAAACATGAAGACCCAGTATTATTTTGATCGCATAGGTTTTTAGATTTTTCCTTGGAGTGCTTCCATCAAAATATTTCCCAGTTTGTTGCTGGTCTTACTTGGCAATAGGCTGAATTTAAAAATAAAAGCCCTTGCCATGTCCTGTCTGCTTTGCCTTTGCTGGTTAAAAGTGGGGGCTATTTTTAAGAGGTGAGAGGGTGAGAAATGATAGCGGCCCTGGAATAGACTCGGGGAAGGACAGGCCAGGTCCTGTTTCCCCTCCATAAAATTCCCAACCTCCCACTCATGGACGTCTTGCTCAGCAGCTCCAACCCAACTCTGGAGTGTCAGGACATACTAAGAAAGGCTGGTCCAGTTGCCACACGAGTCATCTCCCAACGGTCAAGAGGCCACAGTAAAAATACACGTCTGCCTGGGGACTGGGTTACAAAAAGCCCCTGGAGATGACCTGCTTGTCCGTGTTGGGAGCATTTGAGTCAGAGTCCTCATTTCTTTTCTTATACGCAGCCAGTCAGGTGGCAGAAAGTTGCTCTCACACGAGAAGCAGATTTATGAAGTTTGATATGAGGATCATTTTTGACAGATGGGAGTTTGACTAGAAAAGGGAAAAACAACTTGGGTTAGTTTCCTCTGTAGTTATTCATCAATGATGAGACACCACAATGACAAAACAACAATATTTCATCCACTTTTCTCTGGAAATACACTGTTATAATAGTCTGCTTTAATCATCATAGTGTCTAAATAAGGACTGCTGATATCACCCTACAACCATAACTTTGATTAAAGCCATAACAAAATAAAGATTAATTGCTTTCACATACAATTGATGCATAAACCCAGTTTTCCAAGTTAATATTTTCAGTCCTATCTCTTTTTGGACAAGTACAATGACAGGGAGAACAGGAAGCCCCTTGGAAAGCAGAATGAGAAAGTGCTCTTGACAAATCTCCGGCCTTCCCCTCACAGCTGTCTTTTCTCATCCCACTTGTTATTGTTACTGCTGCTAGCTGCTGCAACAGACTGGGGGCTGACTGTTGGTACACATAAACCGTTGCTAGGCTATAAAACACAAAAGGCCACAACCCTGAGGCATTTATGTGATAGCTGCAGGAGCAGCAGGAAAAACATGGCGATGTACAGTATGTTGCCCCGTGCTGTTGTGAGGCCCTGTCACTCTCAAAGTTATCTCCACAAACTGCAGCACCATGTCAAGTAAGGCTAGATAAATGTGCCAACTTTGGCATTTTGGGATCCTAAGCCAGTGCCTGCTGATAAAGACATCAGTGGTTTGTCGTGTGAGCACAGCACAGCAACGTCCATGATTCATGATCTATTTTTAAGTGTTCTTAATTATGGAAAATCTTAATTTGTTATTTGTTTTAGCTCATAAGTTCATCATAATCAAATCAAAGATTACCTAACAACATATGCACTGTTTGTTTTAAAACAACCAGACGCTAGAAGCACTGAAAGACAGACAACCCAGAGTTTTTGCTCAGAATAGCGTTTTATTTCAGTCCCAGGCCAACTCCTGTCACTTGTTAAGTTGTTTGTGACTGTGTGCTTGTTTGGGGTGAGCAGGAGATGGAGTGGTGAGGGGAAGCCACTTCCTTCACTCAAACACTCAGAATTACCATAAGCAAACCCCAAGATGGAAAATAAGCAAGAACAGGAAAAAACATTAAGTTAAAAAATGCAGACCTCGAGTATTCACTTGACATTTTACCAAAACATACTCACCTCTGACTGCTAATGATCATAGCAGAATACTCCTTTTAAAAAAAGGCCCTGGCTTCCAAACCCTACCTGTCATTCCTGATTTTTATTCACGTTGTAGGAACTCCAGTCTTGTTGCTAATTAACAACTTTGTTCACAAGAAACATGACCCTTTAGTCATAGTTCACACATACACAGGTATTTTGTAAGACATAGCTTTTATTTTGCCTTTTGGCTTTTTGTCCACATGCAATCTGTGTTTTAGGTCACTGAAACAGGACATTTTGTAAAACTTTGTGCAGGTGAAGTTTTCTGAACAGCTGTTTTTAGTGTCGATGTGTAGACAGGGAAAACAGAGTTTTTGGTTTGTTACGTCAGAGTGTGCACCATTACCTCATTTGTGAGGTGTCACAAGTAAGGAGATATTTTGTGCAATGGTGAACACAGCCATAATAGTGCTGGCTCTATTTTATTTCTGTCTGTCTACCTAATGTTGCTAACAGGACTGTTTTACATGTTTACATATAAATGTGCAGTTACTGTTCAATGAGAGTGCCTTTTAGGCAGCCTCTTCAAGGCGTGAATTTTACACTATTATGCCGCTCGCCATTCTTTATAAAAGGTACAATTATAGAATGGTGGGACAGAGTTGTCTTGCCTTGAAGCAGGCATCAGAGGTAGCAACCTCAGTGAAACGTCTATGTTAAAGGGACAGCCATCACCAAAGGGTCATGGGCCACACAGGTGTGACGTTTTGAAGACGTGTTGTGCTTGCGACCCACCGTGGTGAATTTTAAAAACTAGCTTGGGAAAACTATGACATTAGGCAGCTCCTTACCTTTCAAGCAGAGGATGAGATCAGCCGTCATATAACAGGACAGTAAATTATTGTTGTTGCCATGTTAATACCATTGTCAGTGTTTATAAAGCGTTGTTGATGCTTATATGTCACTCTAGAGGCCGATGCTGTTGTGTTCCATGTCAAGTCTAACACACCTCTTTTGCTTTTGTAATGAAATCGCACAATGGAGCAGCATGATGCTGCCATTGGTAGGTTCTGTATAAAAATGCAAAGACAACATAAAGAAGGAACTTTGTAGCAGCCCTGTCGTGCAATCTCTGTGTACAAAGGGTTTATATTGAGGAAAAAAGGATCAGAATGCACTATGGAGGTCACTGTTCCAGGTAGCCTTCCAGCAATAGCTTTTTTTCAGGCTTCTGATCAGCCAACATCATGTTTTTCTTTGTGTGGCTTTAGGGTTAGGATTATATTGCCACCTATTTGTTTGGTATGCTCTTGGCAGTGTTTCAGATGTGTTTTTGCATTTTCATTTGGAGCTGTGGCTCAGAAGGTAAAGCGGTCATGTGCTGATCAGAATGTTGGTGGTTCAATCCCTGACCCTTGCAGTTTACATGTTGCATTGTCTTAGAGCAAGATAGTGAACCCCAAATTGTTTGTGACAGTGCATGTGAATGTTTGTCAGATGAGTCAATTAAAAACATATACATAGATTATTACAATAATACACATAACACAAAAGAACATACTGTGTAAGTTCACAGTAGGTTGCTGTAGCCCATTTACTGAATGCACTGTAAATCAGTGCCTCCCAACTAGTCCAGTCATGGGGTCCAGATTTCTCCTTAGTCATTAGTTCAGGGGCCACACAGTTTAATACATTTAGCACCATACTTGCATTTGGCCATGTCATCAAGCAGTTGTCCATTTGTCAATACTAAACATCAGGAAGCACCTCTTCAAAATTAAAGCTGTGTGCCAGAAATTCACTGTACTTAAAAATAAAGTATGTTATTTTACAAACTTGACACATTTACAGTCCATTTTGAATGAACCAAAGACCCAATTTTGGACTGTGACCCACCAATTGGGAACCACTGCTTTAAATATAACCAGAGCACAGCTCTAGCATGTATGCACTCAGTATGCACCAATCTGATATTAATCTCCCTGTGATTCATGTATCCTTCACAGAGAGTACACGACAAAGAGCGTATAGTCTAGTGGCCCAGGCATACACTTCCATCGCAGCAGACGATTTTGCTGCCTTTGTGGGATACTCTGTGGAAGAGGCAGTAAAGGGTAAGATTAAATTTACACAACCTCCTCACAGGAAATGTGATCTCATCACTGTTATAGTGTATAAAAAGATGTTTTAGTAACAAAAATGACTATAGTATTGCAGTGTTTCTACACAGGTGTAATGCAGCTAGTTTCCATTACATAATGAGGGTATTTTCTTCTCCTTCCTCACCTCTGTCTGTGTCCATAGGTGTGGTGAGCCAGGGCTGGCAGGCAGACCCAGCTACTAGGATGGTGATGCCCAAAAAGCCAGGTAGGTGGCAGTATTGCTCTTTCAATCTGTACTCTTCATCAGTCCACTGTTTTGTTTTCCAAAATGTTTTCTTTTCATTATTAATCCTGCACCCACCTTCCTGCTACTCTTCTCCTTTATTTTATTACACACACATAAAAATGTTGAGAGCAGGGATTTGAGAGCCATTTTAATCTCAGAGGAAGATGGATGACATTTTCTTTTTCCTAGAATCTCTTGAAATGTTTGATTTGTTAAGTCTCCCTTGGCTAATGTCCATATTTCCAAAGGTTCCCTCATCCACTTCCCTTCTTTTCTTTTCCTGTGCTCACTTATTTTGGCAAGATTCTTATCACATCAGTGTGTCGTCAAGCCCAGAGAGTCATGGGATTGGGCTCCTATGCAGAATGGAAAAGTATTGAATTTGATTTTAGTAATTTCCAGGTCTGGATAAGTATGTGGAAAAGAAGAGAATATGGAAAAATATTTGTTAGGGTCCCCGTGGATCCTTAAAAAGTCTTAAAATGTCTTAAATGTAGGTATTTAATTTATTTAAGGTTTATAAATGTCTGGAATTGTAGGAGGAAAGGCATTCAATTTAATCTGAAGTACCAAAAATACTGTGACCTGCCGCAACCATCCAGCAATATGCATGAGGCGTGATGTGTCACAAAACATTCTAAGTTAAGACAATGGGTATTGCATTACTGCACAATGAATACTTTTACTAAAAGTACTTTCAGAACATTTTGCTAATTATCCTTGCATACTTTTACTTAAGTTCTGAATGAGGGACTTTTACTTGTATTAAAGTATTCTGAGGATCTGAATACGTCTTCCACCACAGCGAAAGTACAATTTTGCTCACATTGGGTTTTTTTAATTCCTTTTCATGCTCTCTGCTATGATGATGTTAGGCCTGGACCCTTTTTTTTATTAGCTCAGAATAAGAAAAAAATAAAT